TCTCAGATTATTCTAGACACACTGCTTGAGACAGCAACAGCCGGCTCACTGTCACTGCCTTGGCTAAAAACCCAACTGGACCTCCCACAGGTCTCGTGCGGCAGACACTGCACTGCTGAGACGTAGGCTTCTTCAGACCCTCATTCTCCCTCCGTGTGGACCACTTCCTTCTCCACTTCACAGAAAACTCATTTCAGGGGTCTTGGTCTGTACCCGCGAGGCCGCCTCCCTGTCCCCACTCCCACAGTTGGCCTTAGAAGTCAAACTTTTTTGGTTTCCCCTGAAACTACTCGGTCTTCTTTTTTGCCCCTCACATAGAATGCTTTTAAGTGTATTGTTTGGGGCATTTCCTTTCTGAATGCCCTTTGATTTTCTGGAAGAGATCTGCGCTCCTACCCAGGCGAGCCTTGGTTTTACCATCCAGCCTCTAACTCTGTCCATCCCTGTTGGTGGCCTCTGTGGGCTCCTGCTGGCCACAGAGCCTTCTTTTCCCAGCCTGGAGGAATCTGGGTCCATGCATGAAATAGAGACTTCCAATCCTTGTGTCTTCCATGCCTTAATTAAAAGGTGGTCACCAGCAGTCACCTGGGGTCAGCCCCATGCTGCCTCTTTACTGTTGTGGAGGTACAAGGGTCCCCAAGCAGGATTTAGTCCAAGCTCCTGTCTCAGCATAAGAGATGAAATTGAAGCAGAGACTTGCTGACACAACTGGAGAAGGGTACTAACAGCATCTAACACATAGAGACCGGGGATGACACCACACATGAAATGCACAGGACAGCCCCCTTCGACCCTCCAATACACCACACACATGCACAGGGCGGGGCAGTTATCCCGCTGCCCCAATGTGTCAGGGTTGAGAAACCATGCGCTGCAAAGGCCTGCTTTTCTCCTCCCATATCCTATTTGGCCCTCTGGCACATGATGGAGGAAAGCTGGTTCCATGGAAGTCTTTGGGCTGGTGGAGAACACAGTGAGATAGCCATCAATGCAGGTGCAAGTGACAAGGCTGAGGATAGGGGAAGTGACAGATGTGGCCGTCCTGAGGTCAGGGCAGTCGGATGCTTAGGGTCCCGGAGATTCCGTGTCATTGTTCCAGAGGTGCTACTCGCCACTGTCCCAGAGAAGTGAGCGAGAAGCAAGAAGTCTGAGAAGGAGATAATGTGGAAAATCCAGAGAATCATCTGGAAAACTCTTTGCTGTCAATCAAGAGACTCAGTAGAGTGACAAGGTACAGAATGACAAGCAGAAACCAATAGCTGGCATGCACGAGGGCACTTCAAAAAGTTCGTGGAAAATGGCATTAAGTTGATTCTGGCTCAAAAAAGTTGAAATCCACGCATAGCTTTTTCATCATATGCATTTTCCCTGAACTTTGTGAAGCCACCTCAGGCATATGCAACCAGATAGATCTCATGGGAGAAAGGACCTCATTTACAGAAGGAATTTAAACTATAAAATAATAGCATGGATTATCTAGAAGAGGATTCAGTCACAACTCATCCCTAAACTCTAAACAACAGTGCTTTAAATAAGATCTAAGTTTCTGTCTTTTTCATCTGAAAGTTACCTGGGGGTGGGTGGTGCCGTGAGGGTTCCTAGGGGTTGATTCTTATCTTTCGGGTGGAAGGTAGCTATTAGGACTCCAGGCATTATATCCTTATCCAGGCAACAGGTAGAGGAAGGCAAGCCAAGGAAGAGAAAGGCTGTGCCTTCCACACTAGGATCGGCTAAAAGTCAGTCACTTAACCATATGCAGCCCCAAGGCAGATTTTCATTCCAGTTTATAGCAGCGAGGCAATGTGTGTGTGGTTGGAAAAGAAAAAAATAATGCTTACTGAGAAAGAAAGTGAAAATGAATATAGGGACAAACAGCAGTGTGCCATAAAGTAAAACTAGAAGTGTTCAAATATATGTGAGAAGACCTTAAAACATCTCTAAAGGAGACAGATAAGACTTGAGAAAGCAGAAAGACAAACAACATTATTGGGTAGGAACACTCAACATTGTAAAAATATCAGTCCTTCCCAAGTTAATTTATAACTTTGAGCATTTTTCCAATAAAAATATCACCAGAATTTTTTTTTAGCTAAACAAATAATTCTAAAGTTCATATGCAAAGATACATAAGCAAGAATAGGCAGGAAATTTTGAAAAAGAATATGGGCCAACACTCCTGGGTCTAAGGACAGATTATAAACCTGCAATAATTAAATGAGTGTAGTTAAAAAAATTATAGAATAGAGAGTACAGAAATACCCAAGTGCTTATGGAGATTCAGTGCCCTTATTTGATAAAGGCGGCATTTCAGTCAGTGGGGGAAAGATGATCCATGGGACAACCCCGGGGCTATCCAGAAACAAGCAAAGTCAGACAGAAACCTCACCTCTTTCATTAGAACAGATTCTAAATGCATCAGAGACTTCATGTTTATACAATGAAAGCATAAAAGTACTTGGAGTGATCTTAGGCAAATGCTTTTACAATTTTGAAATGAATAGAGCCTTTTCAATGAAGATATAAAATGTACCCCCCCCCAAAAAAAAACCCACAAAACATCAGTTCAGCTACATAAAAATTAATAGCAACATGACAAAACCACCATAACCAGTGTCAAAAGCCCAGCACTACTGGGGAAAGTATCTGCTCTTCTTATCCCACATAAATTAGTTTCCTAATATGTAAAGAGCTCCTACAAATCAACAACACAACAATAAAAATGAGAAGCTATCTTTTTTTAAAAAAAGTACATATGCCTTTTAAATATAGGGGGAAGGTGCTCAAACTTATAGAAAAACTGAACAATATAGTGAGGCACTGTTCTTTCCCCAATCAGACTACCAAAACTTGATAACATACCATGTCGGCAAGAATATGCAGAAGCAAACACTGTCATAAATTGCTGATGGAAGTGTAAATTGTTCAACCCCTAAGGCAGGTTGACAGCCTCCACCAAAAATTCACATTCTTAGAGTATCTGATTCAGAAATGTTTCTTGGAAATGTGCACAGTTACCGTGATGCACGTGCACAATGCCTCAGTGCACGGGTGTTCCCAGAGGCACTGTCCATGATTGTATAATATGGGCAGCATCCTAATGTCCCCCAGGAAACGTGGTGGAGTTTTATACAGCCATAAACAAGTATCAGGAGGGTTTTGATGTGCCAAGACAGAAAAATTTGAGTGTGGATCAAGGGGAGAGGGAAGGCCTCAAAGAGGGAAAATAATCATCCACTCACATTCTCTTATGTGTGTTCAAGGGGCTACACGAGGAAGGAGGTGTTGCAGCCTTGACAGAGTGCTGGTGCTGTCGTCAGCTGGGCCACGCGGGTCTTGGCAAGGCACCTTGGTTACCGGGGCCTGAAGGGTGTTTGAGTCAGCTGCCCCACACCTCAGCCTCGTGATGCTGCACCCATTGGCAGGTGGGCAGGCCGGGTGCCCAGCTTCCTGAGTTTCTGCGTGAAGGCAGTGAATGCCGCCATATTGAACACGCTCTGCCCTCACACACAGCGTCTCATTAGCCCTCCGAGGAGGGCTGTGTCATCCCAGTTTGGCAGAGAAGACAAGGTGACTTTACCAGGGCCGAGCCACGGTGGTGATGAGAATCCAAGCCTTGTCTCCCTGCTCCCCGGCCCCAGCCGGAGCTGCACCGCTCAGGCGTGTTGGGCTCACTGCCCTCTCTATAGCTTGTGAGCGTTTGCTGAGGACAGCACATTTCACGTGCTTGCTCTTCTCTCAAGGAGCCCCAGCTGTAAGCGGAAACAGGGTCATGGATACGAGGCAGGCGGGTCTGAAAGTGCTTCCTGCCTCACCTTTGCACCCAGGCCTGGGTCCCTGGTGATGACTGGAGTTCAAGTGCACATGCCAGCAAGCTTGTGAGCACAGCCCCTCCTGCTCTCTGTGTGCAGTGGAGTGGGCCTTCTTTGCAAGACCTCTCAGCCCAGAGCAGCTGCCGAGGAGGCCCAGCGCGGGGCGCTCCATCTGAACAGCCTAAGTTCTTCTATGGGGCCAGGCTTGAGGGCTCCGTGCTTGGTGACTCTTACCTGGAACCCCGTTAGACAGAACTGTGTGATTCCTGGGCACAAGAGAGCTGAGCTGGTTGAGGCCAGCCCAACGGCCCAGCCGTGACTTGCTGCACATGACCAGACTGCGGCCAGTGTCTGCCTTCCTACCCTCAGGCCCTTCCCCACCACTCAGCCTGCCTGCGCCTACAAGTCTGGTCTTGCCGATGCTGCAGGCTCATGCGGGCAGGGCTGCCATTGCTCTCATCACGAATGCCCAGCCCCTCTCCCTGGCATTCTAGTGTCTCCCAAGTTGGTTTCAGCACACCTGGCTTGCCTTCTCTTTACGGGGGCTCACAGCTCCAGCCTCCTCACTACTTGTACATCAGCTGTGCTGCCTGCCCTCTTTCCTACCCTCTCCCTTCATGAGCCACCCAAATCTTACCTTCTGCCCACACTTCCCTTGAAGGTCACTGTCTCCTGGAAGCACTCAGCACCTGCACCAGCTTGCTGGGGAACACAGCAGCTTGCACAATCATGCAGTCATGCCCCATAAGGTAGCACCTCGTTTCCAGGTGGTTTTGTCCAATGCACTGCTGATACTAAGGGTCAGCCTGGTCCTCCCAGAAGATCCCAGGGCTAACTCAGAGGATGGTAGGTAAGCTGCTGCTTTCTTTCACAGCAGGGTTTAAAATAGGGATTTCAGCACATAGCAGGGTCTTGGTGCATTGCAATTTTAATCTATGAAACCACAGCAGTCTGGATATATTCTTGGGCTCAACAGAATCTCCTCCCTACAACTGAGGGGAGCAGAGGCACCTTGGAGGTTGAGCATCACAAGAGAGAACCCCTGGTCTAAGACTGGTTTGGGGCAGGTCAAGCCTCCTCCAGGACTCCTGTCTCTGGAGCATTCCCTGGGGTGAGCACGACTGTTCAGTGCGAGAAGACCATACTGGGGAGAGTGAAGCGTTCACCATGTGGCCCTGGGCTGTCTTTCAGGGATTTGAAACTGGACAACATCCTTCTGGATGCTGAAGGGCACTGCAAGCTGGCCGACTTCGGGATGTGCAAGGAAGGGATTCTCAATGGCGTGACCACCACCACCTTCTGTGGCACCCCTGACTACATAGCTCCGGAGGTAAGACCCTAGGGCACAGGACCCTGCCTACCGATGCCAGCACTGGGGCAGAGGTCCAGCCCCCTGCACCAGGGATATTGAGGGGTTCTGGGAGAAGGCTCTGGAACACCAGGATTGAACTCAGGGAGGAGGAAGAATGGGGAAGGCAGATGGCCTGCTGATTCTCCATGAGGAAGTCACAGCAATGGGGGAGAGCATAGATGAACTGAGAGTAACAGGTACTCCCCAGATTTTGGACGATGTCCCATCCTAGACCAGAGCAACCAATAAAACTGGGACCAAGAGAGATCTGTTGACGTTTATCGTCACTTCTACTTTTTGATAGTCAGACTAAAGGCAGCTTTAGTCTTGATCGTTTGTAATGTGCCTATGGTGTAGCCAGCAAGGGTTGGCCATGTCCAGTGTAGGGGCGATTCTATACAGTGGGCACTCAGGAAGGAACAGGGAGTGGGAATGACTATGCCTGATCATAAACAAGGATCAGAGATGTTCATCGTGAGCCTTGCGAAGGGGCTGCCTTGGGAACATTGTTTGGATGTTTTGCTCTTTGTCCAGTGTTTGTTTACCTTGCGTTCCTGAAGGTCAATCTTGCTCAAACTGAGCAAGGTCAGATCACCTAGTGTGCTGTGCAGATTTAAGGCACTGGCCTTATCATAGATAACTAGCCAGCATGACCTTGACAACTATCCCTAACCCATTCAACCTTGCCCATTGGTGGACAGGTCTTAGCACATTCCAATTCCATTTCCTCTTAGTGGGCACTGTTTGAGCTCCTGCTAGACACAAAGCAATGGGGGATGAAGAACTGACTGACCTGGGTCTCTGTTTTGAAGGAACTTTCGCTTTACAGGGAGCGACGAGTAAACAAGTAAGCCAACAGAACACGGAGGTATTCAAAACAAGACAGTATCTGCAGGGATCAGGAAGAGCACATGATGAGGGAGTTGGGTTGTGCAGAATAAGGGCTGGGAGCGGCATTCCTGCAAACACCAGGGAGGTGTGGAACAGGGACAGAGCTGGGAGGCGGCCGGGTATCTCTGGGATCTGGCGCGTCTGGAGTCAGGGCACTTGCGTCTGACCTGGCTACTCCCAGAAACCAGCGCAAGTCAGATGTGCGTAGAACGGTTTGTTGAATGAGCAAATGAGAACTCGTGACATTCCAATGGGAGCAAAGGCCTGGAGATCGGCAACCTCTTGGCCCTTTTCTAAGTTCAGGGTAGGTAGGACAGAGTTTCTTACAAACGAGATCAGGACAAGGACGAAAGGATGTGGACTGAGTCCTGTTCCAGGATCTATGAACCCAGGAGCAGTTGCCGTGGGGGAGGGTTCTTGTTGGCCAGGGAGAAGACGGATGGGAAAGTAGAGGGAGGGCTAGCCAGCGGAGAACCGCCTCGGAGGCTTCAGGGTTCAATGTTTCTGCTAGCAGGTTCCCTCTGCAAAAACCCCGGGGACTCAGCCTTCAGGGCAAAATAAAGGAGCAGCCTCTCAATGGGCTCCATGGTTCTCCTCTTCCTGCTGCGTTCCTTGTCATCAGATGCTCAGGTCCAGTCCCTTTGTGAGTCAGGGCCAGAGTGGAAGCATTGACAAGGCCCAGTGTGGTGGTTAAGGACCCCGCCCAAGACAAGTGTTCACTTTACACCGAGCGAAACTCCCACCCCACTTTCCTGAAAAGCAGTCCACCCACAAGACTCACAGTGGCCCACTGTGCTGTCTATAAAGAGGCACAGATGCTCGTCCTCCGCTTGCAGCCTCCGTGGCCACCGTGCGGGTTCACCCCTGCACTGGAAATGGCACACGGTCCCTCACCTTACTGCGGGCAAGTTGCAGCTGAGAAACGTACCGCTGCCTTTATCAAGGTCTGCTGGGCAAATTCCATGAAATGATGCCTCTAAAGCACTCAGCGCCTGGCCTGTAGCAAGCGCTGGCGAAACGGTGGCTCCGTCCCTGCCACCGGTGTTGGCTTGTGTAATGAGACGGGGACAGCACCGGCCTGAGAGCTGAGAGCTGAGCCCGGCATGAGCATGCATGCCCCCATGTGGCCTTGATGAAGTCACCGAATGTTCTGGAATCTCGGATTCCTCATCTTTCCCTGACTCCTGCCCTCTCCACTGCACCAGGATGTGGTGAGTACTCTAATGCGGTGAGGGCAGGGCCAAGCTTCAGAACCATAAGCCTGTCCTCAAACAGGAGAGGCGGACACGAAACTGGAGATGCTTCCGAGGCCTCGGCTCTGCTGTGGGGCTCGCCTCCCTTGGCTGACCCCCGTGGCACCCACTCCTTTCTCCACACCCGGCCCCTGCCTTCCTGGGCAGCACCTGACTCCCTGAGGTTCAAGAACACGCCAGGTGCCCCCGGCAGCGGGCAAAGCCTTGCCCGACTCACCAGCTCCCTTGCTGGGAAGGTGACTCACTTGTTTTGTGCAGGGAAACAAGCCTGCAAGGAATTTTACAACAGATGCCACCTCGAACCAAAAGGCTGGGGAAGGGGCCTGGGGCAGTGCAGGCCTGTGGTTGCCACGGGGCAATCCAGTCTGAGCACACAGGCTACCTGGGGTCACCTTCTCACCACACCACAGGGGCACAGACCCTAGCTGTCCCAACCCCCTCAGGCTAGAGGGTGGCCACCTTAGCTCCCAGAGTCCGCTGAGTCCAGGTAAGAAGGGAGAACAGCCAGGAAGAGGCACACCTGCCAGTCAGGTGTTGGAATGGGCTGGTCACCCTACAGGACTCAGAAGGCGGCTGGCACCCCCACCTAACAGCGTTTTATACACACGTTAGGGAAACAGTTGGCCATGAAAAAAATTAGCAAAACTGTGGCAGTGTGTGGTAAAAGTGCCTGCAAATCTCAGAAACAGGCAGGGCTCAGAGGATGTGAGAGGACAGGAGAAAGGACTAGAGGAGTTCCAGAAACCTTCTGGAAGAGAAAGGTCATAACTGTGACATTGACAGACAGAAATCGGTGGTCCATGCTGAGCCAGCTGGGGTGCTGGGTCTTTGAGAGCAGAGGGAGAAGAGTCACTGACTCTGCAGGACAGTGGAGCTTGTAGCCCTGACCTCACAGAGTCCATGCACGAACCATCAATCTAGGAGACCAAAGGTTGTCACCAACCAGAACACCAGCCCCACGTCATTTAGGGTTGGCCACATCTTCTCGCATTCCTTCAGACTCCAAATGCAAGGTTTCCTAAACCATGGATGATTTTACTCTTTACAAAGACCTCTAGCTAAGTCTTGTTATCTAATCCTACCTAGCACTTCATGACCTCTAGGAGGATGGTCCGAGTAGACTACATAAAATCCTCTCTTCTCCTGCCACCTTGAGATCAGAGAAGCAAGCTGGAGCCCTTTCCTGGGCCTGGCAAGTGGCCTGCCCAAGGCATCCTGTGAGCTGGCATGGGTCAGCACTGCCCTGGCTTTTGTATCCGTGGTCCTCAGTGGGTGGCCCCTTTTAGAACACGCGGTCTGGCCTTGCTTCCCCACTACCACTTTTTGGGATTCTTTCCAGAACTATGGACCTCATGCCGTGCAGTCTCCTGTCCTGGGCGGGGCAGTGCCTAATCCTGCTCTGACTGTCCCCAAGAGCCAGCATTTACTTTTCCCTGGAGCCTGACAAACATTGCTGACCTGCCCCCCCAACACACTTAACGTATGTCATACTTTTTAAGTATAGCTGAAAATGCAAAGCTCTGTACAATTGGAAGATAGTCTTAAATCCAAGTTTTCTTTTATCAGATTTGGTCTTATGTCATTGACTCTCTACATATTTATACACACACACACATACACATGCAAGGGTGCTGTAAAAACATTGTGGAAAAAATGGAATTAAAAGATAAATTTGGGCCCCTGTTGTGGCACAATAGGTTAAGTCACCACCTGTGACATTGGCATCTCATGTAGGCTCCAGCTCGAGTCCTAGAGGCACCACTTTCAATCCAGCTCCCTGCTAATGCACCTGGGAAGGCAACAGAGGACGGTCCAAGTACTTGGGCCCCTGCACCCTCTTAGGAACCTGGACAGGGTTCCAGGCTCCTGGCTTCAGCCCTGCCCAGCCCTGGCCATTGCAGCCATTTGTGGGATGAACCAGTGGATGGAAGATCTCTTTCTCCCTCTATCTCTGTAACTCTGCCTTTTCATATCTGCTGTCACCCATGCCACAGGAAAATGAGGATGGGGCAGTTATTTGCTTTCCAAAGCTGCTTCAGCATCTGGATATCAGATAGAATTCTTCATGTGCATTGAAGTTCTGAATCAGTACTTAAAACACCTTTTAGTTTAACATGGTCCTAACCTCAAGTCGGGCACTTCCTGTGGTGCGCAAACGGAAAGAGCGGTGTATACCCTCTGGAATGACAGATGTCAATGCCAACCTGGACAGATGGCAGTTGGCACTCATCAGACTACCCCCCCAACTCACTTTCACCCACTCGCTGATTTAGACACACAGCCCTGTAATGGGGGGCTCTGCCCTGTGGGGGAACCAACTGAAAATGAGGAGGCCATCCTCCCCCCTGGGGCATCTGTGGCCTGGGGGTGGCTAGAGTGGACCCCTGTGGTGGCGCCTGACACTGCCCATTCTCTATGCAGATCCTGCAGGAGCTGGAATATGGCCCATCGGTGGATTGGTGGGCCCTAGGGGTGTTAATGTACGAGATGATGGCTGGGCAGCCCCCGTTTGAGGCGGACAATGAGGACGACCTGTTTGAGTCCATCCTGCACGACGATGTGTTGTACCCCGTCTGGCTCAGCAAGGAGGCCGTCAGCATCCTGAAAGCTGTGAGTGGTCACTGCCCCTCCCTCGAGGCTCTGCTCCCCAGCTCCTCCCCCCGACATTCACCCCTACACACACACACACACTCATACTCACATGAGCACACACATACACACACACACACCTTTCCTCCCTTGCTCACCCACCTCTGCTCCCCCCCCCCCCCCACCCCGGGATCGGAGGAGGCAAGGGCAGAGACCAGCACCTGCAGGCTCTCTGACCTGCCCAGTTAATGACCTTGTGTGCGCCACTTAAAAGTCAGAGAAAATAACAACAATACCTCATGGGGAGGCCCTGCACCCGCGTGGGAAACCTGGAACAAGCTCCTGGGTTTGGATCGGCAAAGCTCCAGCTGTTGCAGCCATTTAGGGAGTGAACCAGTTAGATGGAAGAGCTTTGTCTCTGTCTCTTCTCTGTGTCACTCTGCCTCTCAAATAAGTAAATAAAATCATTTTTTTTAAAGAAAAAAGCAGAAGAAGAAAAAAAAGAAAGAAAACCTGTGTATAACACAAACGCGGGCGGGGCGGTGGTGCTGAGGATGAAGCCCCGGCGGCCGCCTCTCCGTGGCCAAGCGGCTCTGCCAGGCCGGTCGGTGACATCACCATGTTTTGTTCTGGTTCCCAGTTCATGACCAAGAACCCCCACAAGCGCCTGGGCTGTGTGGCGGCCCAGAACGGCGAGGACGCCATCAAACAGCACCCCTTCTTCAAGGAGATCGACTGGGTGCTGCTGGAGCAGAAAAAAATCAAACCACCATTTAAGCCGCGAATTGTAAGTGAAATGCTTGACTTCTACCCCGCGGGGCAGGCCCGGCTGCGCGCATGCGCCCAGCGTGGCGGCGGCGGGGGGGGGTCACGGGGACACGTGACCGCCACAGAGCCAGTGGTGGAGCTGGACGGGTGCAGCGGGGTGGGGCGCGACTCCCCTGGCTCTGGCTGTTAGAAAGATGGCGCCCGCCTAAAGCAGGACCAGAGAGGCCAAGGTTTGTAACCCCAGGAGAACATTTTTTATTCTGATTGAGCTGGATCGGGTCCTTGTTGGCCTAGTGGAGAAATCAGATTTGCTTGTAGATCAACGGGCTTGCTTTTTAAATGAGCCGAGTCTAGGTAAGCCTTTGAAGGAGGTAGTGGCGGCAGCGTGGTGTTTACACAGCCCAGCGTGGGAAGCTGGGTTCTGCTGGTGACTGGAGACGGAGCGCTCCTTGCTACCTATGGGGAGGGCTGCGATGGCTTCGTGCCCTTTGTCGGCTCCTCTTCCGTGCTCTCCCACCTTTCTCCTGCTCTCAGCCTCCGTACGCGCCTCCTCCCAGGACCGAGGCCTGTCCTGATGCCAGTGGAGCTGAGGCATGGAACCTGGGGTAGGGAAGAGAACAGGGCTGCGCTGGGACAGGGATCCCCCCACTGCGGCCGCGGCCGGAGAGTGGTCTGCTGCTGGGAATGAGAGCCTGGAGGAGCCCCGCTCAGAGAGAAAGAGAGAGCAGGAGAACACCCCGCCTCGGCTGCATTGGAGCCCGAAGTGGCAGCCAAAGCCTCAGCCTGAGCTTGGGCGGCAGTGGGCAGGGCGGAGCCACTGCAATCTCTGTACACCTGTCTTGCCATAAAAACTAACAGCCGAGCCCCCCCTCCGCCTCCACGTAGAGAAGAAAAGCCTCGCGGTGCTTTGTGACTCATCAGAAGGGCCCCATCTACTCCAGGAGTGAGGTTTTGGGGGCGCCATTACTAATTATGCTGTGATTCCTAGAAACGTTCTGGGGTGGGGGTTGGGGGACGCTGACTGGTGGGCGTGGCCCAGGCCTCCGCCACGCTGGCGCCTACGGAGCTGACCAGCTGTGAGTGAACTCAAGTACTTTGTCCTTGACATGCGTGGTGTGCACACTTGTGACAGACTAAACTCTGCTCACCTTTCTCGACCATCCCTTGCACTCCCGCCCACCTCACAACTGTTCTGGGGACTCCAGGCCAAGCCTGTGTTGTGGATTCGGTGGATGGAGAGGGCTTGGAATGTAAGCTCCTTGGGCTGACCATTCCCCCTCACTGCTGGGCTGCTGGATGTGGGCGTTGCGGGGCCAGAGAGCCTCTGCACACGGTCTTCAAGGGCTCTATCCTGAGCGCCTGGTGCAGCATAGGGTGGAGGGCCCGGAGGTCTAGCAGCAGTGGAGGGCGCTAACTGCTCGGATCTGATTTTCATTTAGATTTGAGATAAATCAGTCGGCCCAAAACACAATCAGAAGCAGAGCTAAGTACAGAATCGGTGCAAACAGCAGGCCGACGCAACAAAACTGCTTAAATGTGGGCTTGGGCAAGGCCGGTGCCGTGGCTCACTAGGCTAATCCTCAGCCTGCAGCACCGGCACCCTGGGTTCTAGTCGCGGTTGGGGCACCGGTTCTGTCCCGGTTGCTCCTCTTCCAGTCCAGCTCTGCTGTGGCCCGGGAAGGCAGTGGAGGATGGCCCAAGTGCTTGGACCCTGCGCCCACATGGGAGACCAAGTGGAAACACCTGGCTCCTGGCTTTGGATCGGTGCAGCGCGCCAGCCGCAACATGCCAGCCATAGTGGCCACTTTGGGGGGGGAGAGTGAACCAATGGAAAAGGAAGACCTTTCTCTCTGTCTCTCTCTCTCACTGTCTAAGTCTGCCTGTCGCTTGGTGGGAAATGGCACCATTGTGCCCTGTGCAGCCGTGGGGGATGGGTTCTGCCTTGCGTGGCACACATAGGTGATGGAACGGTGATTGCCACAGGCCTTCCCCAAAGGGGGCTTTACCAAGCCCGGGGGAGGTGCAACATGGGGAAGAGGAAAAGAGAGAGGAGCAAGCGGAAGGGAGGACAGTCCATGACCTGCTCCTTAAAGCCACGCTCTTGCAGGCAGGGATGTAGGGGCCCTGGGAACCAGCAGGAGGAAGCCCTGCTCTGGCTCGTGGGCTCAGGTGGAGCTGCACCACCACCTGGACCCCAGGAGCACAAGGGGACAGTGCCTCCCTTCCTGGGGCCTCTCAGGAGCCCACACCCAGACCCTGCTGGCCTCTTTGGCTGAGGGGCTCAAGTGCTATGCCCCGCACCCCAGCTGAGAGCACATGGCCCAGAAGAAACACAGAACTGTCTTCCCCCCATGTCTGACTCCGTGGTGACCCTGGAAACCATTCTCTGTGCACTCACGCAGGTTACCCTCCACGCTAGACAGGGCCCAGCCCCAGGGTGTGTTGAGTTGGTTTGCAGTCAGGTACAAGAAGAGAATTAGAATGTTTTCCAGAGGACGGAGAAAACAGGAAGCTGACCGCATGCAGGGGCAGGGAGGGTCCTGCTCTCGATGCGAGCTGAATCACGCTGCTGCTCCGAGGGTGCTCAGCCCCAGGCCCTCAAGACTTAGTCACGTAACCGTCACAGTACATCCTTGAGACTCAAGACCTCTCTGCAGAGAAATGTCACAGTGAAAAGGGAAGCAAGAAGCCACATCTTGTTGGTAGCTGGGAAAGGTGCCAAGTCTGGCCCTCAGTAGAAAGCTTTCTCCCGGGAAATGTGAATGGTGCCAGCCGGAGTCATCTGTGAGCTTGTGGATGGCAGAGATGAACCTGAAGCTGAATTAAAGTCATGGCAGGGATGATGGAACCTCACAAGCCCATGTGAGGGCACTTGGGGGCTTTTGTGAGCCGTCAGCCCCCTCTTGCCAAGGCAGGCTTGACCCTGGGCGTAAGGGGACCCGCCTGACTCACAGCCCAGCAGTGAGGACCACTGTGTGCTCCATAAACAGGATCAGCCTTCCCATAGGCCAGCGAGGTGGTCCCCCACGAGGGGTCAGGGCAGGCACCAGGAAGCTGAGCTGTCCCTCAAGGGAAGCAGTCTTCTGCTCCTGGGACAGGGAGTTCCATCAAAGAATTTGCATGCACCTCACCCGCCTACCCAGGCCAGCTGGAGAGACAGGGATCTGACAGAGGGAGGAAGGAGGGCTGATGCAGAACCCAGCGTCGGGGAGAAACAGGACAGAGGGTCACAGCCGGCAGGGGCAGGATGAGGGTCTTGGCTCTTGGGTCCTAGGGAATCCCAGTCAAGAAGACACTTTGTGAGAAGAGAGTTTATGAGCAGATGTCACCAGCCTTGCCATTGTGGTGGCCTCAGCCCGTGTTCAAACAAGCAAGGAAACCAGATGCACACACTCCCCTAATCTGGTGAGCCCTAAGACCACCAGGGCAGTGCAGTGAAGCACAGCGCCTGGGGTCCCTGAGGAAGCCCCCAGTTTCCTCTGCCTGGGGCTAGCTCCACTGGCTGCCGAGCCATGCCCTGCTCACACCACAGCAGGATGCACCTGCCAAGTAGCTACAGCCCCACTCCTGGGCTGCCCGCGAAGCCGAGGGACGCTGGGGTGTCCTGCCTGTGTGACTCCGGACGGTGCAGGAGTTGGCAGGTGAGGCTGGGAGAGAGCACACCATCTAGCCCAGGACTTCCGAAGAGCCCAGACATAGCAACAGCTTTGCTTGGAGCTCAGACTCAGCCACCTGGCAGCACCCAGCAGGAGCCTGGCAGGCTCCCTGGAGGCTGGTGGTCTCTGAGTCACCCCCGTGGGGCCTTGAGGATGCAGCAGAGGGGCTCCCAGGCCTGCCTTCCACCCCGCCCCCGCCCCCACCCCCAGCAAGCCTGGCCCTGCGGAAGGCATCGCTGAGGAGGGGATTGTGCAGATTTGTGGCTGGAATCTGGCCTGGGGTCAGGTTCCGTTGCATACCTCCGCAGGCTGCTGGCCCCGCCAGGCTTTTGCCTTCCTGAGATGTTTGCTGTGTTAAGAGTGCCGCTCCCAGCGCCTGAGCCTCCCCGTCTGCCCTGCCCAGAGTCCCGAGCTGTCAGGAGCACAGCTGGCCCTCCTGATGCCCCTTGGTGCTGGCCCCACCCAGCAGCTCTGCTTCCGTGTGGAGTGCACTCCCGTTGTCCCCCCAGCTCTCCTCTGTGTCCTGCCTCCTCCACGTCCTTGTGCCTCCACGTCCTCCTGCCCCGCCTCTGCCTTTACCCATGCGTGGACTGAGTGAGTTTTGCACTAGCAATGCACCATCAGCACCAAGCCAAAGCCGTCACGTTGTCTTGTGTGCAAGTCCATTTTCTGGGGGTGCCTGGCTTCAGAGCAAGGGTACCCAGAGGGGGAGGTTTGGTGGCAGTGACCTTAGCAGTGGCAGGGTGGGGGCCTGGGAGAGCTGGCAAGGCTAGAGCCAATACCTTTGTTCTTGGAGAAAATCTGCCAGCCTGGAATTCCCTGGTCAATTCCTTTGGCAATTGCATCCCAAGAGGGTGGCATTGCCCACTTTCCATCAAAGTGTCACCTTTAGCTTTGGTGTGACTGGTGGGGTGGCTTTTTGTGGGGCCCCCAGCATCCACAGCCGTGTCTGGCGTGGTGGAACAGCATCATGTCTTGAATCTTGGAGATACTCAACTCATTTCTGGCTTCCCTGCTGTGAATGCATTCCCCTCCCCTCAAAAGCATTAGGCTCTGAGATTCTGGAGTGGGCGAAGCCAGTGTAGGAGGAGTCGGCTGCCTCCTCCACCCCCACCCCAGCCCCAGCCCCAGCCCCAGCCCCCTGAAACCCAGCTGGCCTGAGACAAAGCCAGAGGCGAGGAGGGAAATGCCGGCCAAGTAAACTTCTCTTTGTGTACGTGTTCTCTCTTTTCAAGTTTGCTTCAGTGTGAATGTCCCTCTTTAAGGTAAGGCCTCAAGAGTGGGGAGTCTGTCCAGGTAGGTGAGCCCTCAGGCCGCTGATGCACATAGAGGTCCTTCCAACTCCATGACCCCACTCCATCCA